CGTGTGTGTGTGTGTGTGTCTGACTAGATGTAAGGCGCGCGAGTTGACACCGTTATAACCGAGTCAATGTAGTGAATGAGAGCGCAATGGAGACGGAAAAGCCATTAACAGAGAGTCTAAGACGTTAATTGGTCACACTTACGATATTTATTTTAAGCTTACAAACCTATAAAAATTTGCAGTGTGTCAGTAAATTATCTGACACCGTGAATGTGCTCTCGAGTGTCCAAGTGCCAGGGTGCTTCATAATTGGATAATTCCAAACAGCATTAAGCGTTCGTGTTAGCGTTTTTACAATGATTTGTGTAGCCACAAATACAAATAAACTATCATTCATTCGTGTGGCGTATAATTAGCAAAACTTTTCTCAGTCGTCGCGAATTGTCGGTAGTTAGGTGTTGCTGCATATAGTTACACATAGTTTCTAAGCCGGCAGAGTAGAATGAACAAACACGCGTTTTCTAATTACTGCGTAGCGGCCGCTTCCGTAGTTGGAACAATGCTAAACTCTGTTCTCCCATAACGAGGGCTAATTTTCGCTCGAAGGCGAATGGACACGCTCGCCTGCTGGAAAATTGACAGCAGTGGGATTTTTTTTTAGTTCAAGCAGGTTATAGACGTATTACGATGGTCCAGCAGAGCCAACGCACCGCGTACCGTGAGGTTGCGGTTAGGGTGAAGATGATGCGTATAGTCTTAGCAATATGCTCACTTCCCATTTCCCCGAACCCTAACCATGCATCTTAACCCCACGATGAACACTGCATTGGCACTTCCGCCCTGCCGCAGTATAATCGAATCAATATCTGTGCAAACAGGAATATTACCGATGTTCTCTCTCGCTGAAATACATACATACATATACATACATACACGTATACGCAGTGAGATTCACTGCTTGTGTAGCGGTGTCGCCGCGAGCGCTAGCGTGCACCGTATTACATACATTATATATATACGGGAATAACGCGAAGCTGCTCGCGTCGGACTATACGAGGAAGGCGACAAGAAGCGCCTCTCAGAATTACATTTCTAAATTACTATATGTCATTACACTTTTCGTACACCGACGTAATAATTATGAACAACAGCGTCACAGTATGCGTGTCTTACTGAACTAAACGTAACAATAAATAAAGGCGAGTGCCTTGTCGTACAACGCGACCCCCAGCACACGACTGCCCGTCCGCGCATGCGCCACGGCCTTCACGCCGCCAAGGTCACGGAAATATACGCCCGATTATACACAGTCGTAGGCTTCGGGGGGATCCTAGCCATATCTACAAGTTTCAGCCGAATACACGATAAATGGCTGCTCCATCACTCACGATAATCTCGTCCCTTCCACGGACATTGCCGATCAAACTTCGGTTCGCTTCGCTGTGTATTAGCCACAAGCCAGCAGTACGCGAATCCTCTTCACTGTCTCCATCAGTCGAGTAATGATAATACGATGCCTAACGGCCGATGTTTGTCTCTATAAATATAACAGCTATATAATAAGATCGTTACAGCATAAGGGGATACTTTTACGTGTACACTATGAGCGCGCATATATGATATATAGAACCACAGCAAAAGCAACATCTATTAACGGATATTTTTAACACATCACTTTGCTGAGATCATACGTCGATGTCTGCTATACTCGCTCTCAATTCCCATCGCTCAATTTGCGCCGGAAAAAAACACTAACACCCGACGTTGAATACAACCGGCACCATGTCATATAATGACGGGCCTAGCTGCGACAAACTTGATAGTTCTCTGTACTAAGAGCTACTAATGCCTTAATAATGAGAAGAAAATCGTTATAATTATTGCCGTAACGTCTGCAGCATTATGTATATCGCAGGTATAATAGCTGCAACACAACTATACGAATATGATAAAGCGGGCGACTAGACTCTATAGATAGAGTCACGGCGCTGTGCCCAGCATACAAGACTTACAACACACGAGTACATTACACCCAGATATACATAGACGCGTTGTGCTGGCTGTACAGTTTACATGGCATGCATCGCTCCGCCGTAGACTAGCGCTCAGTAATTTACAGTAGATGTTCGCAACTAGTTTCTCGCTCAGTGATCTTTGAAGCAACGCTCGCTGAAGGTGAGAGAAAGTTGCACGGCTACAATGCTACGACAATGGTGTCTTGCCGTGCGTTGCTTGGTCTCGTTTCTCACTGTCCCTTCATTCGGCAACACTCATGCGCCAGAATATCAGTTTATATAATATGACGGCAGTCTGATCCTATCTAACATCTGTTAACATGTACGATCTGGTGCGTTGTAAGCACGCTGGCCGTACTAGATTCTGTCAGCTACATCGTCAGTAACAAATCCGTAGTTTATTCGATAGCGTTAAAAGCACATGACAAATGCATAGGGGGCTGAATTCACATTTATATCTGGGCTAACCACCCGAGTGGTCTCTCTCTACATTCTTCCCACGTTCTCACTCCTCTCCCGCCCTCTTTTTTGCGCGGGCTCTCTCACTCACTCTCTATTTCTCGCGTTCTCATTCACTCTATATCTTGTCCTGTCAACACCCTAATTTCCTGGCCCAATTCGCTCTTGTTTTCTTTCCTTCTCATCGCTTTCGCGTTCTCTTTCTTTCTTTATACGCTCCCCGTTCTCTTCATCTCCCTCGCCTTCGTCTCCGTCGCTTTCTCCTTCAGTCATTATCCTGCAGTTTCACTCTCTCTAAATATGTGTAAAATAGTTGAAGGTTCACTCGCCCATCTGTTTATATTCGTTTTAAATGCGTAGGAACTCGAGTCTGTACAGTGTCAGTTAAGCTGCAGCTCAGCGTGCTTCGGCACCCCCACAATGCTATCCACCTTTACTATGCCTAGCCAAACGCTTGCGTGTAAACGCATTAACCATTCGTCTCACGGTTTTTTTTCGCCCGTTTAAATTTTCTCGCAATTTACAAGGTGAAGCCCTATCGATATGAATGTAAAAGGCGTGCAGGCAGGTAGATGATGGACGAGGTTTACAGAGATGCGGAGTCTGGCGTGCGTCAATGCCCATCATCAGGCGGATTGCGCCATCCTAACTGCTTCCCATCGCGCGTCGATATGACAGCCAGCGCTCGCACGCGCGCGCGCGCGGAATATTCTATCTATCCCGGCCCGGCAGTTTCCGACGGGCTGGCGATTTTCTCACATCCGCTTCGTTGTTGACTGAGCTGCTGGCGACCATTAATTATGCGCAGATTAGCCGACGGCTAAGCAGCATGAATGCAAAGCTCGCATATTTGGTATATACCTATATCAGTGTAATTGAATTCGAACGCCGTTCATTTCGAAAGCGCACGCGGGCGACGCTGCCAGCGACGTGGCCGTACGCATCGGCGGCGGGCGGGGGACCGCGACGAAGTTGTACGGACCATAGGAGATAAATAGAGAGAGAGAGAGAGAGAGAGAGAGAGAGAGAAACACACAGAGACAGAGCGACATACACACATACACATGCATACGCTTACATGCAGAAGATATGCAGGCAATAGACACAGAAACACGTCATAGACGACAGAAGGCGTCAGAAACGCACACTTTACATAGCTCCCCTGCATCTTCATTGCCGCTTCCCCACAGCCTTTCCCCCCCCCACCCTCGCCGTCGACGGAAAGCCGCCTCTCTCTTACCTGTTGGTTCTGATCTTCGGACATTTGCAGCTGAGATCGCTCTGCTGCACCCACAGCTGCATCTCGCCTCGCTTGATATCGGCGCCCTTCTTAAACACGGACATGACGTTCGCCGTGAACCGCACCCACTGGCTGTCCGCCGACTCTCGCTTCAGCACGTGAGCGTAGAGTGCTGTAAGGACAAGACGCCATCTTGTAATTCCATCCGCGCGAGTTAAGTCGGTTAATCGAAATTCTCACCGGAGTGTTCTCTCTCGCGCGCGCGCCGCATTCAGACGCGTTGGGTCTTAAATTGAGTTCTGCCGTTATATATGGAAATGGTTTTAGATATCTGTCGGATTGAGTGTATGGACGCGTTATAGAAGCTGCTGTGGTTAGTTGCTTACCGAAATCCCGCTTGCAGTATTTGCGTTGGTTGACTCGTCGCGCGTTGGCCCTGCACTTTCCACATTTACCTGGAAAGTAACGGACAACAATAGGTTAATTGTAAATTACATATCTGATCATATATATATATATATATATATATATATATATATATATTTTACTATCATCTGAACAGGTATAATAGGCATTACCGCAGCAATCAGTTCATCGAATTGATATTTAAATTTTTCTGCTTTTCCTGCTTCCCCAATCAGCGTCTTATTTGTCCCCGTTTCTCTCATTCGCTCTTTCTCTCCCTCTTTCTTAGTAATGCATGTAAATTAACAACACCCAAGCTTAACGTATTCCATCCTTGATGTACTACAGCAATCCCCTTCTTCCCTATTGAGTGTTTACTGTGAGTATGATAAATACGGTGATGTAAACGATTTACATCATATCTGTACGCGTCGTTTGCTTCACGACCGCGTTCCCATTGTCTTGATATATATATATGAATCGTCGCTCGACATCCAGTCAGCACACAGCACAAAGTCCCGGCTTCCGTGTGTAAACCCTCTGAGTATCCGGCCCTCGGCAGCAGCTCTCGCACAACGTGTTTACCCTGCTAAAAGTGTTTCCGTGTAGAGAGCGTCTTCGCCTCAGGCCGGGCCGTGTTTATTGCCTCATGTCTGATGTCAATATGTTTCAATACCTTTGCAGGTTGCCTGCGTCGGTCAATATTGTCTGAGTGCGTGAAGCCTCGGACTGTCGCGAGACAGGCACGAGGTAGGTCACAGCGTCTATGTTGCTCCATCCATGCAGAACGGAACGAGACGGTTTTTAACGGGAGAGGAAGGAAGGGGGGACGAGCTTCAGGCTTCTTCTGTTAGAGCTGTGCGGTTCGGAGAGCAGTCTGCGTGGTCGGTCTATGTGCTCGGTCATGCGTGAAGAACGCAATAGCACGTGTCTTCTCCGTGTTTCTCCATGTGTGTGTGGGGGGATGTGTGTGTGTGCGTGTGTGTGCGTGTGTTTGTGGGGCGTGCCGTGCGTGTGGTGTGTGTGTTTTGTGTTGTGTGTGCGTGCGTGCGTCCGCGTGCGTGGTGCGTGCGTGCGTGCGCGTGCGTGCGTGCGTGCGTGTGTCTGTTAGTGTTAGGGGGAATGGGTGTGCGTGCATGTACGTGTGTATGGGGGTGTACGTGTGTGTGCGTGTGTGCGTGCGTGCGTGTGTGTGCGCGCGCACGTGTGTACATGTGTATGTGCGCGAGTGTATTTGCGTGTTAGGTCGTGTCACAATAGAAATAGGCAATTATTTCGACACTATAACTTCAAACGTCACAGACGAGCATAACCGTGTATATGGACCGTGTGTAATCGTACTGATGACGCAATGCCAAAGCCAGACTGGGAAGATGTGCGCACCCAGGCAGCTGCTGCGATGCCGATTCACGGGATCATCCGAAAATTCGTGCACTCAAACCTGCTGATTCACGTATAAGCGGAACCACTTCACCCCCATCGCGCATCCCACGCGTAAACAAAATGGCCGCAGAACTTCAACAGATGCTGCACTTAGAGCGCCGTCGAAATCTGTGACGACAAAGCGGTCATCGGCAATAGCAGCAGCAGTGGTGCTAATCGAGCGATGAGGCGAGATGGAGCTTGGAGAGACGTTACTCACATTACACGTCACCGACGCGTGTCCTCGACGCGAACCAGCGGATTCTGACGGCTCTCCGAGCGAATTTGGCGATTCTAAGTGGCGTGGTGCTATATAGAAGACACGCACCAGGATGTGACCGGGAGTGGGTTCGGTGACTAACAGGGCAGTGTGGTCAGAAACAACAACCTGCCTCGGGAAATTGGACCACGGAATAAGACGTGATAGATAATGTAGTCAGGGACTATTACGTGACGGGGAGCGAAGACAAAGACCAGTACGCCAATGACTAACCCCCCGATAACGTATGAGGCCAGACACAAACCCGTGACGTAAAGTGGAGTTACGTACTAACCCGCCACAGGGTGTGGAGTCAGACACATATCCCGAGTGAGAGAGAGAGAGAGAGTTGACTATTCCTTGCTAGGCGCGAAGTGGGGGCATAAACCATTGGCGCACGATACACCGCGAGATAGGGTGACGTCGTGGATTATATCGTTGTTGGAAATGAGGTCGCGCATTACTTAGGGATAGGGAGTGGGGTCACACATTCATTATTCACGCGCCGGAACTAAGATCACGCGCTATTGACCGGCGGTGTAAGGACGCAGCTACGGTCTAGTCTAACCCACTGAGGTCGTTTAACTCGCGCCACGCTATAGCGATGAGACAAAGGGCCAGGATAAGCTCGGTTTGGCTTTGCATCGGGCCAAGCACTGGCTACGGCAGATTCAGGGTAGCATGCAACGCACGGGTCCACCGGATAAGCTTGGTGCAAATTAACCTGCGATTGTTCTTACAAAACACACGCTTGCTGCGCGCGCGGACACGCGCCCGAAGTCAAAACGCTGTCGTCGTTGTTTGCCAGGAAAATATTGTCATTGAAAATATTGTTCTTCGTCAAATTCTTCAATCAATCACTGTTTAACGACTGTATGGTATTGTTCTTGAAAATATTTTGTAAATTTTGTTCTTCATCAAATTCTCCAATCAATGAGTGTTCAGCGACTGTATAGTATTGTTCTTGAAAATATTGTTCCAATATTGTTCTTCATCGAATTTTTCAATCAATCAATGTTTAACGACTGTATAGTATTGGTCTTAAAAATAGTTTATGAATTTTGTTCTTCATCAAATTCAATAATCAATTAAGGTTCAACGACTAAATTGTATTGTTCTGAAAAAAATATCGTTCGTATATTGTTCGTCCTCGAATTCATCAATCGATCAGCGTACAGCGACTAGCGGCCCGCATCGCGTGAATCGCCATGTTTTGTGACGCGATGCGCACAACTATCGCATTCAACCTCTTACTGAAATCCTTCATCGTCGATATAGGATGCTGAATAGCTCAAGTGCTTTCCCACTTCTTTAGCGACCTTGTTTATCAAAGCTTCGCGCGCGGTCTCTCCCGCCGCATTGATTTAGCAAAGTAGTGGTTCGCTAGCCGTATCTCGCTAATTGGCTTCGCGCTACGTGGAATTTTAACTTCGTAGCTCTAATGAAGCCATTTATACGATTGTGAAGCTTCTCCGATGTCACGATTTCGCGAGAACTCGATCCGTCTTCAGAAAGCCTGTATTGAGTTTAGCCGCCGCGCGCCGGCTGGTAAAAGTATGTCCGCTTTTCCGCGCCGTCTTTAAAATTTCTTGCGTCAACAGTCGGAACTCATTCAGGGAGATGTTGACACAGGAAATTATCGCGGCGACGGTAAACCTCTGCCTCGCCTCCTGCCGGCATACACCGAGGGTCTTCTTACAGTCCAGGTTCTTTGCAGTGCGAGAAATTGCAGCGCGACTCAGTCGATGAGAAAACGACGCGTACATACAGAGAGCTAGGCGGACAGGATCGCCAACTCTTCCCGCTCTCGCACAAGTCTGAGCTTACTACGAATTATACAGATTATATACATAGAGAGAGAAAATGGTCTTGTTTATGCCTCTGCCACCGCGGCTGCTTACTGCTGCGAGCACCGCATGATGGCGCGCACAGCGCCCGCCTATTTAATTCCTTTACACCGAGAAATTGTCTACGCAATAAAATTATTAAACAGAGAGTAATAAGATCATCTTCATATAGTGCTCTTTATATATGCTTAATTAGCGTTCATTCTTTATAGAAGAAGATCACGTTACTTACGTTGCGATAAGGGTTAAGCACCTCTTTCTTGCTAAAATTAGAAGGCAAAGCAATCTATCGGCGTTAGTGCGACGGCTGGAGTATGTAGGAGAAGGTTTTCATTTTTTTCTGACGTACACACTTGCTCTAATGACGGACTCTTTCAAACTCGAGCAACGAGTATCGTCTCACCAAAATGCAACCGCTCCCTGTTGCGTGCGCGTATTGGGTAACGAAGAGCACGCATTACGCTTGCTAGCGAGCGAAGGAGAAAGAGATAGAGAGAGAGAGAGAGAAAGAGAGAGAGAGAGAGAGAGAGAGAGAGAATTAGATTAGAATACAGGAGAGAGAGAGAGAGAGAGAGAGAGAGAGAAGAGAGAGAGAGAGAGAATAGAAAGAGAGAGAGAGGGGGGTATTGTGTGGAGGAGTGAGAGTGTGTGAGTGAGACATGATGAGTGAATGAGTGGTGGAGTGAGCGTGGCGGGGGTGCGTGCGTGGTGTGTGTGTGTTTGGTGTGTGTGTGTGTGTGTGTGTGAGTGAATAGTGGGTGGGTGAGTGAGTGAAGTGAGTGAGTGAGTGAGTGAGTGAGTGAGTGAGTGAAGTGAGTGAGTGACGTGAGTGAGTGAGGAGATGAGTGAATGAGTGAGTGAGTAAGGAGTGAGAGTGAGAGTGAGGTGAGTAGTGAGTGAGTGAGTGGTGTGTGAGAGAGGGATGCAAAGGACAAGCGAGCAAGCGAGTGAGGAAAGAGAGAATGAGAGATAGATAGATAGAGAAAGAACGAAAGAAAGAAAGAAAAGAAAGAAAGATAAATAGATAGAGAGGAGAGAGAGAGAGGGAGAGGGAGGGAGAGGGAGAGCGCGCGCGAACGAGCAGAGAGGAGAGCAGCGAGCAGCGTGAGTTAGCGCATCAGCTGTGAGTATACACGGCTAGTATTTGCACAGCGCTCGCCCAAGTGTTTATCATTGTTGTCATCTCTGTTCACACGGCACACCATTAGGCGCGCGGCTGCAGGGGGGAGGAAGCGACGAGGAGGAAGAGGAGGAGGAGGAGGAGGAAGAGGAAGATGAGGAGGAGGAGGACCGCATCGATCTAGCGGCTACTTAATCGTGTTTACCGACGGCCTCCTTGCGTGTCGTTAATCCATTAGTTATCATGTAACTTTTCTTCAGCAGATTGCCGATGTTTTGTTGCGACGTCTGCGTGTAACTTTTGCCAGGCGTGAGTAGGCGGCCGCGTGTGTAAACTCTGCGCCATCGCGACGCGCGCAGTCGATTGTAGATGTCTCGTCGTTGCTATGCGCGAGTGCATCGCCGTGTGAAGCCCTTAGCGGTAAGAGCGCGCCGGTTTATGCGCGAATGTTGCAGCAGCAGCAATCTTCGATAACGTCTCCGCGAGTGCATCGGTAACGTAAACTGTGTCACCTCCCCAACCAGACCGAACCTTCACGCGTGTCGCTGCCATATACGCTGTATAGATTCTCTCTTTCGTATCTCTCCTCTCTCTCCTCTCTCTCTCTCTCTATATATTATATATATATATATATATTATATATATATATATATATATATATATATATATATAATATATATATCCTCTCTTTATACTATATAATATATATATATCAAGAGTGCATAATAGAGAAAAGTATGACACGGTTTTACAGGCGTTTTGCATAGTTTTCAACTGGTAAATATCTATCAATATGTGAATAAATATATTCAAACTTTACTGTTTTCGTCTATGATTCTCCCTTAATCATATGACACACAATTTACCTGAAAATCGTATGTGTTCTTCAAAAAAGTTATTTGAATACGACACGGTTTCGTACAGTTTTCACGCATGAATGCATCTCCGACCGAACTTTCTTATGGGATTAGTGTTCTATTGTCTATGACGGTACGCTGGGGGCCCGTGGGAATCAGCTGCACTGCTAAATGCCGTGAGCGCGTTTATTTTAGCACGCCTGGAAACGCTGCACGCTGAATACAATTCGATGCCTAATATCCCATACGACCCCAAAGTTCCGTCATAGCACAATAGAACACTAATCCCATAAGAAAGTTCGGTCGAGAGATGCATTCATGCGTGAAAACTCGTACGAAACCGTGTCGTATTCAAATAAGTTTTTTGAAGAACACATACGATTTTCAGGTAAATTGGTGTGTATATGATTAAGGGAGAATCATAGACGAAAACAAGGTAAAGTTTGAATATATTTATATCACATATGATAGATTATTTACCAGTTGAAAACTATGCAAAACGCGTTAAAACCGTGTCATACTCTTCTCTATTATGCCACTCTTGATATATATATCTCTCTCTCTCTCTTTATATATATATTTATATTTATTATTATATATAATATATATAATGCTCTATAGACGCATTTTGGCTGATTCTGTCAATCATTTCCGAGCCGGAAGAAACAAAAAACGTTACCCCTTGTGATCGTTTTGAGAGCAGGACGCGTCGACTTGCAGACGAACACTACGTGGCTCGCCAATCTTCCGCCATTTGCAACATGCGCTGACGTAATCATTATAGAGGTGAACGGAAATGCGTAATCGGTCAGATTTCGCTGGAAGCTCCGGTCCCTCGGCTTTTCAAACTTCTCTCCATAAAGTAGAAGCCAGCGCGGCGTTCTGTCAGTTATGATTTAATAATAGTGTTATTTTAAGGCGCATTTGATGTCACTAAGTGGATCGGCTGGCCGGGTTATTGGTTGGCCGCACCGATGGTTAATCCGGCGCTCCGCTGGGAAATACGGTGACAGGGAAACGACATGCACGCCAGTCATCGATGGCTTTTCATATTGCACACGCAGGAGCGCATTTAGTAGGCGATTAACAGCCAGGAACAGGTGAAAACCGTCGCTCGCTGTGTTTCCGAAAGAGCCGGGTTTCGTCGACGCGCTTGTATGAGCGTCACGTGCGCTATAGCAACGCCGTGAGCTGGAAAAAAGCGACAAACGACTCGCAGAAATTCGATAATGCCGAACTGGAGTCTCAATCGGCAGGAGGTGAGAGCGCGCTCGGGAAATGTTTTGGAAGTGTGGAGAAAGAACAAAGCAGGAAGAACAGCTGGAAGAACAACAAACTGGCAGAACACATGGAAGAACAGCAGCTGGCTTACCTCTACTGGTCGTGGCCCGGTTACTGTCGTACGTGGGTCTGTCTGTTCGCGACCCTTGCTCGGCTCCGTCGTCATGAATTCGGTACCTCTGCACGCAAGAAAAAAAATCAATCAGAGAATTAATTAATCGACGAGGAATTATCGATATCAATCGAGATATCGATCCTGTCACACAGTTACGACGCGTGAATGTGTGTACCGATACTCGTCCGGTGAAACAACAACGCTCACGAATGCCGGCAAACAGCCTCTAGTTTACGTATACTAGCGTATATAGCCTCTATTTGTAGATGTGTATAGCGCTGGATCTATTAAAACACGCGGACGGCGGCTGTCGCTTCGCGTCGTGCGTACCGCCGCGTAATCTCCCGCGACAACTAAAGGTCCCTATAGTCACGGCGGCGACAACAGAGCGTCGCTTAACGAGCTTACGCGCCGCGGGCTTCGCGCCGTTCGTCGCCGACAGTGTGTCAATGATATTCCGCGGTCTAGTTGTGGCGACGCTGCTTTCATATTCCGCCAGCGCTCGATTCTTCGCCGCCACCACCTAGCCTTGCAGGTCGCGTCGTCTCTCGGCGGAGATTCTCCCCCCCGTCTTCGCTTCCCCGTCAGCTTCTTTCTGGGTTTTCATTATCATGGATATCAGCGCGACTACCCTCTCGATATATCGATAACGAAGCTGTCTCTCTCCGACGATGCATGTGGCGCCGCTTAGAGTGCGGCGCGCGCGTTCTCTCTCGCTCTCTCTCTCTCTCTCGCGTTTCATAAATCTTGCGCGCGTTTCTCGCAGATGTGACACGCGTGTGAAAGAGGGCCTCGCGTCGTTAAACGGAAGACTTTCATTAAATTTCCGTATTTACATGATAATTATTCGCGCGACGGCTAAAGGCCCGCGTCGGCCATTGTCTGCGTCGCCGCGCCGAGAGAACGGTAATTAATCTACGTTCTCGTCGCTGCCGACGACGCCTTCGTTAACAACTAATATGCTAATTCCGCACACTCGCAATTGCTTCTCGGCTATTACGATCGCGCGCCGAAGTAATCAGCGGCTGGTGTTTGTATCGGGTATATAGCGGTTTGTTTCAATCTGATAAACGGCCGATCTTCTACAATGCGACGCGACGATTTTATGCACGATTTACAGCATTCTTTCTACGAGCAAGACGTTCGTCGTTATATAGATGTGAAAGAGTTCGAGGGGCGATGCGTGGTAATGGCCGGCTATTTCGCCACCGAGTTTATAAATGTGTCGGATATAAAAGGGATATGCTACGCAATGATTTGCTTCTCTATAGACGGTCGAAACCATTCATCATTGCAAATTGCGGATAGCCATATAGTTTAGAGTATAGGTGACGACTTCTTTTAGTCTCACTTCTATATGGATTAATTAATCGTTGATACAAGTAAAAACAATGATAATGCGTTTTAGTTCAGTCGCTCGCCACTTACTGATGCATGGCGCCACTGGCGAGCGGCTCTGTTGGTATCCCTTAGCGCATCGGTTACAAGTGCGCCCGTCACTCCGTCCTTGCACGGACACTGCCCAGTCGTCTGGTGCATGTCTTCCAGACGTTCGACGGATGGCACGCACAGGCTGCAATGAGAAATCTGATATTTAAGAATATAGTATGATATGATAAGATATATATTATATAATATATATATATAATATAATATATATTTATATATATAATAGGGAGTTCTGTTATATATTATGAAACGCATATGAACATATATGAATATATGCGAGTTTAGTTACATATAGGAACTCGTATGACCTTTTCTATGACGGCAGTCTGATCCTATCTAACATCTGTTAACATGTACGATCTGGTGCGTTGATAGCACGCTGGCCGTACTAGATTCTGTCAGCTACATCGTCAGTAACAATCCGTAGTTTATTCGATAGCGTTAAAAGCACATGACAAATGCATAGGGGGCTGAATTCACATTTATAATCTGGGCTAACACCGAGTGGTCTCTCTCTACATTCTTCCCACGTTCTCACTCCTCTCCCGCCCTCTTTTTTGCGCGGGCTCTCTCACCTCACTCTCTATTTCTCTCGTTCCCATTCACTCTATATCTTGTCCTGTCACACCCTAATTTCCTGGCCCAATTCGCCTCTTGTTTTCTTTTCTCCCCATCGCTTTCGCGTTCTCTTTCTTTCTTTATACCCTCCATGTTCTCTTCATCTCCCTCGCCTTCGTCTCCGTCGCTTTCTCCTTTAGTCATTATCCTGCAGTTTCACTCTCTCTAAATATGTGTAAAATAGTTGAAGTTCACTCGCCCATCTGTTTATATTGGTTTTAAATGCGTAGGAACTCGAGTCTGTACAGTGTCAGTTAGCTGCAGCTCAGCGTGCTTCCGGCACCCCCACAATGCTATCCACCTTACTATGCCTAGCCAACCTTGCGTGTAAACGCATTTACCATTCGTCTCACGTTTTTTTTTCGCCCGTTAAATTTTTCGTGCAATTTACAAGGTGAAGCCCTATCGATATGAATGTAAAGGCGTGCAGGCAGGTAGATGATGGACGAGGTTTACGAGAGAGCGGAGTCTGGCGTGCGTCAATGCCGATCATCAGGCGGATTGCGCCATCCTAACTGCTTCCCATCGCGCGTCGATATGACAGCCAGCGCTCGCCACGCGCGTGCGCGGAATATCTTATCTATCCCGGCCCGGCAGTTTCCGAGGGGCTGGCGTTTTCTCACATCCGCTTCGTTGTTTGACTGAGCTGCTGGCGACCATTAATTATGCGCAGATTAGCCGACGGCTAAGCAGCATGAATGCACAAGCTCGCATATTCGGTGATATACCTATATCGGTGGTATTGGAATTTCGAACGCGATTCATTTCGAAAGCGCACGCGGGCGACGCTGCCAGCGACGTGGCCGTACGCATCGGCGGCGGGCGCGGGGGACCGCGACGAAGTTGTCCGGGACCATAGGAGATAAATAGGAAGACAGAGAGAGAGGACGAGAGAGATGAGCAAAACGAGGAGGGACGAGAGAGAGGGAGAAGAGAGTGAGTAGCAGAGAGAGAGAGAGAGAGCGAGAGAGCGAGAAAGAGAGAGCGCGAGCGAGTGAGTGAGGGAGAGAGGGGAGAGGGAATAGTACGAGCTGCATAAGGCGCAACGAGAGAAATGATGAATATTCTCTTGCACTCTCCCTTTCCACCCTTCTCTATATTACACTCTCCTTCTCTCCCCCATCTCTTTGTCTTTCCTCTTATCCTTGTTTCTTTTCCCGCTCTTGTCCTCTTCTTTCTCTCTCCCCATCTTTATCTTTCTCTCTCTCTCTCTCTCTCTCTCTCTCTCTCTCTCTCTCTCTCTCTCTCTCTCTCTCTCTCTCTCTCTCTCTCTCTCTGTCTGTCTATCTATCTTTCACAACAAAGGTATAGAAGGAAAGTAGGATATACGCGGCCGAGGTGCACGGGCACTACCGCGCAGTACATGCCGGCGTACGCCGTAGCATTCCTCTCTAATTCTCAACGTAAACAGCGATGTCGAAAAGCTGGCGTCATCACAACAAAGACTGCTCGAAAACTTCCCGCTCAACGAAAAACGTCAGAAGTAAAAAAAATATTCACTTCTGTCGCCGTTGCCGCCGCCGCAGTCCTGGATGACCCAATATGAAGCTACTTACGATAGTAGGAACTACCGTTTCTCGGGGATAAGCTATTGCCGGCTTTCGCCTGTCAGTATTTTTGTTGTTTTTGGGACACTGCACAGCAGGTTTAATCAAAGCCATCACGTGACGATTAGCTCGGCGAGAAGGTGAGGGCCGCGAGAGGGCGATGTAAACCAAGGTGACAAGTGCCATCATAACATCTATGCTGTCAGACAATCTTTCTCCTCTCTCTCTTTCTCTCTCTCTCTTTCTCTCCCCTTCTCTCTCTCTCACTACATCTTCTTCTCTCTCTTTCTCTCCCCGTCTCTCACTACGCCCTCTTCTCTCTAGATCTTTCGCTCTTCTTGCTGTTGCTTCGCGAATAAAGTGGAACAATAATCCGTCGTCAGGCCTCGCAATAAGGGGCATTTTTCTGCCACCAAGGGGCAACCAAGAGCAACGGCGGTGCCGGACTTCGTTGCGAGCGAGGAACGCGGCAACAATAATAGCACAGAGAGAGTGCGCTCGCCCTGCCGCCCAGCCGCGCTGCAGTGACGCGGAGATGCTGCCATTGTCCGCGCTTTTACGATGGGGCCATAATTCCTTCGCTGGCCGTCGCAACACCTTGAGGTGCGAACTGCAATTAATTCACAATCACTGTCCTCATCGCCATCGCCGTGCCGCCATAAAACCCGTGTGACGTTTCCATGGAAACCGTAACGGATTCAAACGCCCATTCGGGAATTCGCGCGAGATTTGCATTAAATTGTGCGCTTGCGGAGGTACGTCGTAGATCTCTTTTACGAGAAGGTGGGTTGATGAGGCGAATGTGAGAGGCGTTGAAGCGAATGAGCGGTTCGGGTTAATATTTAACACTAAACAATGTCACACAACCCATAGATTCTGTGAACGTGTGTAGACGGCAATGAGTTTATACTGGCGACGATAAAGACGTCAGCTGCGCACGCAGTTGTGGGTCCGTGTGCGTAGACAGTGTCCGTAAATTACGATTACAGGTGTTCATATGTGTAAACACTACACGCTCGCGCGCGCGCACACACACACACACACACACACACACACCACTACGACACGACACACACACACACACACACGCACGACACACACACACACACACACACACACACACACACACACACACAGACACACACACACGCACACATTTTACGATCAATGCGCCATCAAGTATAATCCCAATATCAATGGAAAATCTGTTCTCATTCAACCATTCACTCTCGGAATAGTTTGAGAATTACTGTTATTAAATAAGATTTATTCCGTTGCTTTATTCACTTATCTATGAAACGTTTAGAAAGTATTAGGCTAGGGGGATACGCGCTGAACCATTCGAGCGAATACCATTTCGTAGATTAGTGCAAGGCTATACATTGTCGACCGCGATATATCTCTACGAATGGAAAATCTCGGCATCCCATAATTTACGTAAGTAATATACATCTTTTTTTTTACACGCCATCACTAGAGAGCAGTATCATGCCTCCCCTAAAGCTATGAAAAACCATCGCAGGAAAAATCTATCGGTTGTCGACGATTCGATGACGTTTATCAGACATCATGCAGGAGCATGAGACCAGGTAGCTCTAGAACTAGAGCCTTTCGCTCTGCCACGGGCCTGTGGCAGAGCGAAGGGCTATAGTTCTAGAGCTAGAGACCAGGCGATCATCTCGTAGCGTCGCAGAGTTTAGCAACTAGGCCGCCTGTTGTGTCTCGACGAGGGGCGGATGCCGTAAAGAAAGGCTGGCCCGCGAAGAAACAAGGGTGTGTAAGTTATGTTTGCCCATCAGCTTACTCGGCCCGAATTGCTACCCTGATTAGCCAATTCCGTACTTGTTAGACGCGACAACAGGTCGGTAATTTGCCTTCTTTCTGTGCATCGCCGCGGTAATCCGCGCCGCGTATACGAACCGAACCTGTCAGTCTCGCATGCGGCAGGCGTTGTTAGGGTGAGTGAGGAGGGCTGGAGTATGGTGGCCCAGGAACGCCAGCCATGGTATTCACACGAGTTCAAACTTGATTTATAATTTCAAACTTGATTTCTTATTTCAAACTCGATTTCTAATTTCAAACTCGATTTCCAATTTCAAACTCGATTTCCAATTTCAAGCGATTTCTAATTTCAAACTCGATTTCCAATGTCAAACTCGATTTCCAATTTCAAACTCGATTTCTAATTTCAAACTCGATTTCCAATTTCAAACTCGATTTTTAATTTCAAACTCGATTTGCAATTTCAAACTCGATTTCTAATTTTGCGTACTGCTAGCCAAGGTAAAACGCGTGCTGCAATGCGGGCCTTGAAGCCCAACGCATGCATATATAAAAACACGTGTTGCATGATTGATATATATACTAATATGAACGTATTGTATGATAGATTTTTGTTCTGATAGACAGAATCCCCCCCCCCAATACATTACTGCGTATTGGCGCCTGCAAACCTCCTTCGGTTGCCGACGGAAATTTTCTCACAGCAAATCTGAAAGACATTTACCGATTTCTGTCCGCGATTGATAACAATAAGCGTCTTGCTGGTTATTTCACCCGTTCTAGCCAGTGCACGCACCAGATACCGGTTTCATGCGTGCAGTAACAGCCGCGAATATAGGTTTGCAAGCGAACGAGTAAGCGAGTATAACGTTGCCGAGGTTAAACGGCCAGCAAACCGGCGTCACCATCTCGTTAAGTAAACGTTAATATTCATTCGCGTTGTTAGAATGCTGGAAGTGTTATCACATCTGAACCATTGGTGTGCGGTAACAACGGGTAGTATAACAACAACATATGCTTGCTCACGCACGAGATTCGCTATACAGCGACAGGGTTTTCACTATTATTCTTCGTCGCCATACGTTTTTTGAACGGGTTACCATTTGAAACGTGTCGGTCACTGCAAAAGTTATACCAATATTTATCACGAACATCCTGAAAAGTTAAGACATCGCCGCATGTCGAAGACGCGAATTTCACTTCGTCGGGTTTGTACGTATACAATACGTGCCTGTAGTCATTCGACGGAGACCCTTCTGTTAAATAATAGTTGGCATTTTCTCTCACAATATTATCTGATACCGAGTTGTTTCGACATTGAATGTTGATCAAGAGGACAGCGATTGACACACAAGAAATGGAGTTTATAGAGCAGGAAATTCCGAAGGATCGACATGTATGTGTTAGAGTACTTCATTTCCTATACGCGAGTAACATTCCCATCCATCGAAGTCACTCGTCGCGTACAGTGACAACAGTTTTCTCACCACGCATTCCCGCCCACACAGCCGACCGCTCGGGCAAGTCGTTCTTTGCCGGTTATACACATGCGTACGTGTCTCTGCGCAACAGAGATCCACTGCCACTACCCCCAGGTGTGTTCGACCAGCTTACTACCTGGTGGCAATATAAAGTTAATCACGGCGCTTACGTTTGCATGCCTTCCGGTGGTTGATCGGTTTCGATGAATCTCTGAAGAATCCTTCCTTGCAGTAGTGGCAGTGCCGCCCAGCGGTGTTGTGGCGACAGTTGAGACAAACGCCGCCGCTCTTGTGACCGGACAGCTTGTACAGCTCCATGTTGAACCGGCATCTGCGGGCGTGCAGGTTGCACTGGCACGCTGTAACACAAGAGACGAAAGATCGTATCATGAATGATTTCGCCCTAGTTAGAGATCGCCGCCGCCGAAAGTGTGAAAAAAATTGCTATATCGCGCGGGATGCTGAATATTCCCCGATCGCATCGGCCGTCACGCGAAATTCATTATCAAAACATTCGCGCAGCGGGTGGCTAGGGGAAACGCGTCAGCCGCCAGCGGCCATTGAAAGCGGTCGTGAAGGCCGGGAAATATTCTAGCTCATAAACAAACTTTCCGAAGCTGAAAAGGTATCAAATTTATTTATGCAAATCCCCGTTATATATGTATTGCGAAAACGAGAAATATCGCTAATTCCTTTTGCGTCAGTAACGTGATTTATCGACTCTGCGCCGTGAAAAAATCTGGGCGCGCATTTACGCGTAACTTGGGAAATTAAACGATGATTTAAACGGATGACGCAACGGATATTTCGTTGCTGAGTTAGCGGGCAGCCGATAGCGATGGCGTGGACGTGCGTCTGATGGACATGCATGGATTAGACACTCACACGTCGCGCGAACGCAGATTTTGCGATAAAGTCACATAAAAAGCACACGAGGAATTATTTGTTTCTGTTTTTTTTTTTTAATGTAGGCCTACTTTTGTTTAATCGGTTTAATTTTTTATAGTTTTCTGAATTTGTGCTTTGTCTGAACTTGTGTGAACTTGTGTTTGTGAATTTGTGCTGAATTTGTGCTGAATATTGTGCACTGGCGTATTAAAAAAAACTCAAGCGAAACAAACTCATTTTGCACTTCATCGGAGAGGCTTGATTCTTGTCAGACGTTCAGCTGCTAACTGAGTCCGATTAAATTTCTGGGACATTATTTTGCGAGTTAACGCACTCTGCGCTACCTTCATTTATAATAACTTAGTGGGCGATGCAGAACTCGAACCCCATAGGTTCCAACCTGGAGTGCTAATCATTATGAGAACATAGCAGCATATTAATACTATTACTTCGAGATTTCGTAGGTCTAGAATATTTAACACACAGAGTCGCCATGTCTACTAACGTGTGCAGAAGGCACCACGTGGCATCGGTGTCCAATTAGAAGCTCATCCTGACACTAATCGCAGTGACGAGGTTAAATGCACTCACGGAAGTGTTTGCATGAGTTATTCGCACAACGTTTTTTCTCGCCCGTCGTTGACATTTTTAGTTATCTAACCAAATAATGTATCGAAGGCATCGCCGAAGAATCGACAAGACACTTTCACAATTTTGTTCCAAAGATGTTTATCTTTTAGATCTGCAAACAGCCTTTAAAATTTCAATATTTATAATGTGTTACCGCCAGCATTTGGCTGATGGTGTTTACTCTGCAAAATATTCACCGAGGTCTGTCGGACGACACGGCGTTTTTGCGGCACCGATAAATAAACCGGTTAAATATTTATGCGGACGCGTATTATGGTTAATAATGGTTAATAACCCAAGCAGAGAATTATCGCTCGAAATGCAAAAGTTATAGTAAAATGTGCGTGAGCGAACATCGTAGTCGCGCGCTCAAAGGCACCCTCGTAAGTCAACAAACGACGATTGTGTACGACCATAGTTGCCTGCCAAGTAACCCCCCCTCCCCCTTCTCCATTCGCCTCACCCACCCGTGCGCACCACCCACACACCGACACTGCTGTAGGTCTTTATGATATCTTTCCCTAAGCTAAGTCGTTTCCCTGTCCGTGCGCTTACACACATGCAGGTGCGCGCACCCCGGCACATTAGCCCCACCCTTTGTACGCTCGCACGCAAGCCGCGAGATACATTCTCACTATAGACGCGAAAGGCAACAAAGTCGGGGCCGAACATTCTATTATCGGTGGCCATTAACATCTCGTTGATTGGCCCGCGCGCTGAAAATGAAAACATCCTCTGATCTTACTTTCACCTGATGACTGAGCGCCTCTCTCTCTCTCTCTCACACACACTCACCGGCGCCGTAATGACTTTATTGAGGGAAGATGTTTCACCTTGAGTGAGCGCTAGCAATGCGCTAAAACTGTCGTAAACGGTGAGCGAGAGAGAGAGAGAGAGAGAGAGAGAGAGAGCGTGCGAGAGAGAGAGAGAGAGAGAGCGTGCGAGAGAGAGAGAATGAGAGGGCGAGCGAAAGCGAGAGAAAGCGCGAGACAGAGAGAAAGAGAGAGGGCGAGCGAGAGCGAGAGAAAGCGCGAGAGAGCGAGAGGGGGAGAGAGAAGGAGAGGGCGAGAGAGGGCGAGAGAGAGGGCGAGTGAGAGAGAGAGAGAGAGAGAAGAAGAGAGAGAGAGAGAGAGAGAGAGAGAGAGAGCGAGAGCGCAAGAAATAGTTAGGCCTTCTCAACAAATGTAGGCGCATCCGTCTCTTGGGAGACGCGAATCGGTATTTACAAGAAATCCATTTGCAACTTTAATTTATCACTGCATGCGTCGGTTCCGGCACTCACATATGCAGACGCATATATATATATATATATATATATATATATATATATACATATATATATATATATGACTTTATTTATTCATCAACATCACAGACGGATTATAATATCACATCGGGTTCGCTACTAATACTAGGCGCTGGCAAGCCTTAGCATCTGAGATCCTAGTCAAGTGTTCACGTCACATGATATTCGTATCAGAGTTGCACACGCCTTATTTTACGGCTCTCCTGGTCGCTGGGACGTAGCCGTACGGCGTGTTGCTAATTTCCGTTGTTGGTGCTGCGGTCGTTATTGCGAGGCGACGTCTTACATGGCGGGTTAATCGCGAACGCGTTCACACCCCCGGGGCTATCCCGTTACACTAGCATTGTGCAGCGCGCGTTACACAACGTCCCCACCTGGACGGATGAATGCGGCCGATTCTCCCGCGCACAACAGTCCCGTACTTGGCCAATTATTCCTGTCCCTAATTGATTAATTTCAGGTGTCAGGGGGCCGTTGTAAACGCTCCAAGGGTGGTCGTTATCCGCGTGTTTGGAGGAGGGAACCTCTTGGCTGCCAGCAGCACAGGAATGGACATGCGTGCCGACGAATGGAAATCGGCCAGCCATTGTGAAATGAGACTTGACCCTGCTTTCCTCCGACATAGAGCAGCAGGCGCTAGAGATTTCGTGTGGCCCGGTGTTGACGCTGCAGAGATGACGCTCTGTTCGTTTCAGATGGGTAACAAACCGGAGAAATATGCCGATATATACTGAATAGATTCGCTATTGCCTTGCTTGAGTCTATATCTCTTTACGTAGAAACACGTGATGCAGTCACGAAAATAGCGTCTCATTCGCTCGCTCATTTTCCCTCGCACGCTCGTGCCGTTGATGTACGTTGTCGAATCAATATCTCAATTAAGTTCAGCGCTATAGACGAATGGCGCGCGAATTCAGCGGAACCAAAAGCGAGCAATATTAAAAAGAAGAATTCAGAGTAATCTCCATCCAATCTTCCAAAATAATCGAAACTGAATTTTCGCTGCCGAATTCGCAGCCGCCCTCGCGCATCTACGATGGCGACAATCGTCGAGATGAAATGAAATGCGTCATGCGCTTTCGATTCGAATATCTCACGGATAAACGCGATTCAAGCTCAAAGACTATTCGGAAATTACGCCTCATCGTTGAGAATTTTGGGCGCGTGAATGATGTCTGAGACGGCGCTTTAGAGAGCTGCTAGATTACGGCGGGCTTATGCAAATCGACAGCGACAAGGTTATTAAAACAGGCTCTCTAGCGGCACGCGCACATCACGTGATAAATTGCCCTTAAATCTCTGCGTGTATTGAAACATGAGCACGTCCCATTGTCGTCCTTCGCTGGCGCGGCAAATCAGAAATTTTTGCGCGATGTCAGCCCGTGCTCGTGAAGGTTCCAGCGCCGCGTCTCCGCGCTCGCTCCCTGCATGCGCGTGTCATGTCGTCGACCGGACCTCCTCCAAATTATTGACTGCTCTCAAGATGAGAGTGAGAGGGAGAGAGAGAGCGAGAGAGAGAGAGAGAGAGAGGAGCGAGAAGAAGAAGGGAGAGGAGAGCGAGAGAGAGAGAGAGAAGAGAGAAGAGAGAAGAGAGAGAGAGAGAGAGAAGAGCAGCGCAGGAGAAGAAAGAGAGAGAGATGAGAGAGAAGCAGGACGAAGAGAAGAAGTGTGTGTGTGTGCTGTGTGTGTGTGTGGTGTGTGTGTGCTGTGTGTGTGTGTGTGTGTGTGAGTGTAGTGTGTGTGTGTGTGATGTGTGTGTGTCGTGTGTGTGTGTGTGTGTGTGTGAGTGTGTGGTGTGTGTGTGTTGTGTGTGTGTGGTAGTGGTGTGTGTGTGTCGTGTGTGTGTGTGTGTGTGTGTGAGTGTGTGGTGTGTGTG